CGACGCACCTGTACTTTTATCCCTTATCTCTGAAGGGCCTGAGGTCTCATAGCATTTCGCCTCGCGACTGTCTTCACTTACAGCATCTCGAGATAAGGCCGCTGTGCACTCCTGGGAGAGCTTTTATGGATTGGAGAGCTTTTGTGTAACTCACTTCTCAACCTCTGGACAAGTATTGATTTTTTTGTGTTGAATTTTTAATGAATTAAGGAGATCTCAATAATTACCTTTCCCAACAGGCAAAGGGGACGGACAGACGTGTGGCAGGCCAGACACATAGACAATGTCTAAGATATCTAAAGTAGCCAAGGCGGTGAAAAAGTTGGACACTGGAGGTGTGATCAGAGCAATTGTAAGGTCTGGACAAGCGGCTCCTGGGCCTCCACTGGGCCCCATCCTGGGACAGGTAAGCTTTCAGACCACCCTTTTTCTTTATTCTTTATTATGCTGTTCATGGCATTTTTTTATGACTCTAATGCAATGGTTCTTAACCAGGAGTACCTCAGCCGACTTTTAAGGGCGACACAAGATCATTTTAAAACAGGACAAAACAAACATTAAAATCAGCAGAAGAAAAATTAGGATATTTCTTACTTTAATTCATCTCAACAGCTGTTTCAATTTATTGGTTAATAATCGAGAGAACCCTGAGGAACATAGAGTGCTGCAGGGATGAGGTATTTTTGTAGGCCAAAACTCAGAAATGAATTAGCATTTTAGCACATCCCATTTTTGAATGGGGTTTTTGGTTAACACAAGCTCAAGATATATACAATTTTTATTCTATTACATACAATACATCAGTAATACTAAATTTTTTAAGCTTTTACTTAACTTGAAAAAGGCAATTGCTAACAAGTGGCTAAATGGGACTACAGAGGTTGTCAGGGATGTTAAACATCACAACGAACATGCCAAGTCACCTTTATTTCTGTAGCGCTTTATAGAGTAGAGATGGTTTCGAAGCAGCTTCACAGTATTAAACGGGAAACTAACAGAATCAATGATGCAAACTTCATCAACTATGAGGCAATCTACTTATAAACTCAATAGTCTGCTTTCACATCCTCACTGCTTATATTAGGAACTTGCAAACTATTCTAACTCAAACTTTCAGGGAAAATGTTTTTTAAATAAAGACTGAAAGAGTTGTCAGAAGCTTAATGGTGGTGACATTGACGGTTTTGTAAATTTGCAAAAATGTTCATGACGAACAAAATAGTTAAGACTTATAAACTTTTGTTGGGCACAGAGCTTATTTTCCGCAATAATCCAAAAACCAATGGAAAACTCCTATTGGGTTTTTGTCGATGGAACCAGGGAGAAGCTAACTTATGGGTTAGCCTACAAAAATACGTAATCACTGCAGCACTCTATTCAGTTTTTAAGACTTTTGGAATCCTGTAATTAAGTTTACAGAAAATAAGGGTGTCTGGCCTTTGAATATTGTTGCATATAATGGTGGTCTTTAGAGTTAAAAAGGTTGAGAACCACCGCTCTAATGGTTAGGAATGCAGCAAGCACAACATAAACACTGCTGTTACAAGCACATCTGCAGTTGTTGCTTCTTTGACCATTTAAAGTTGTCTTCTGCAGGAATTGAATGTTCAGAAAGAAAATCTGATTTCATATATTTACAGCAAAAAAGTCTGTCTTGATCACCGAAATGTGATGTTTCTCTACAGGTTTTGTGTTTTTCTCCACCATAGGGACTGACTTGAGAAACTGTTTAGCCAAATGTTGACAAAGGCTTACCTCTGCTCTCATATGTAAAGCACATTCATAACTAACAAGCTAATTACAGATGTAATGATGTCATTACAGTCCCTTGCCCATCATGATGATAATAAATGAGACACATTTTCTTCTGCCAGCGCAAGTCAACCTGGCCTCCTGAGTGTGCTTGCCTGCTGAAGAAAGCTGTTGTGAACTAAATATGAGGTGTAATGAGCATCAGTCAAGCAGAGCAGCACCATATGTCAGTGAAACACATGTAGTCGTGTGTTTGTGCATGTGTCTAACCGTGCTCTTGTCAGCTCTGTTTAAACTCTGCTTTGCCTTTGTGCCTGTGCTGCCATCTTTGGCTCAACTTTTATGTGTATTAAACTGTAAATAAATTGCAGTCAGTAGGCCTTCAGCTTACAGCTCTGGCCCTTTAATCTTCCCGCTTTCTCCCTCCTTTGTTTTTTCTCTTGTCTGCCTAACCATTCCTGACAGGGTAAGCGCATAGAGGTAGGCTGCCTGTCGGCCGGGGGGCAAATTTAAACAAACGAGAGAAATAAAAGAGGGAGCTCCGGAGGAGAGGGGGGAAGCTGACAGCTTCTGTGGAGGAGAGTAATTACAGTCCAGAGAGAAATTAACTCAGCCGGATGGAGGAGAGAAACAGAGGACAGAATAAAAGAGGGGCGTATAAGACAATAGTTCAAGTGTTTTGTCCGTCAAGACCAGGCATACTAACACCGTGTTTTTTCAGTGAGGTAAATGAGTGAATCTCTGAAACATGCTCGCATCACATTTCACCCCTAAAAATCAAAAGGAAATCTATATATTTGTTAATCATTACAGTATTTTGCAATGAGACATTATTTTCATGTCAGTAGTGGAATAGTTAACGTGAAAATTATCATCATTTATTATTAACTCAGTCTTTTTATTCTTATTCCCATTACTGTATAGTATATATATGTATATATACACACACACACACACACACACACACACACACAAATAAATGTACAGGAATAAATTACATTTTAAAATATACATATTCAAAGAGAAAACAGTTTTAAATTGTAATAATGTTTAACAATGTTACAGTTTTTACTGTATTTCTGATCAAATAAATGAAGCTTTGGTGACCTTAAAGGGGTGCTATTATGCTTTTTCACTTTTTCAACTTTAGTTAGTCTGTAATGTTGCTGTTTGAGCATAAAAAAAGATCTGCAAAGTTACAAAGCTCAAAGTCCACTTCAAAAGGAGATATTTTATTTAACAGAAATCACTTTTCAAAAACTACAACGAATGACTCGTTTGGACTACAACGCATATTTTCCGGGATTTGTGATATCACAAATATCGACGAATGGGACGAGACCTGGTTGAGCTGCACTAGAGAAGACAACGAGTGTTATCACTATGTCTGAGACACGCTAGCTATCCAAAGGCAGACGAACTTAGAGTGGTTACAATCATCCGGGTTTAAATCGTGCTCATATTGATTTGATTTTGATGCAATATTTACACAGAAGCTCGCAGGCGGCTCTGGTAAGGGGCAGAGCATGTTCTAGTACACCCCCAAAACAAAATCAAGACTTTGTAAAAGAGCATAATAGGACCACTTTAAGATACTTTTCCCCCCACAATATTTTAATATATATCTTTTAGATTTTAATAATTTTAATTAGATTAAAATCTGAATTTTTTTTTTTAAGAATTTAGGGGGGATGTGCTTAATTGTCTTCAAAATAATGTCAGAATGCAAACAAAATGACTATATCGTTATGCAAAACACTTATTTGATTCTTTTAATTTTGGAGTGAAATATTAACTAATTGAACATTGTGCATGTCTGACCTGCTAGTTCTGTTCTTTTCACTGATTTCTTTTCGTTACTGGAAAGCAGAACAGTTACAGGGGACATAACATGGAGGGCGTGCATTTAAAATGAAGAGAGAAAGAGAGAGAGATGAAAGGCTGAGAAATGGCATTCTGGTCTGGTTCATGTCTAATATACCTCTGAAGCTGAACCAGCTTCATGTGGAACTGTTCTCTGTAATTCAAATAATTTATAGCTAGACTTATTTTTAGCATTTGTCATGCAAGTTTGTCCGCTTTTATGTTTGGTAAATATTCCATGTAAATCATGAATGAAGTGCGGTATAAGCTCTTTGCTCTTTGAAAAATGAGTCCCATTTTAATTCATATGATTAATAATGGTTTATCAGAGCAGGGGTGGGGGGATTGTAGAGGGCTTTAGAGGCTACTGATGGAGAGTGAATAATACCCAATCCCCCTACCGTATAATCTGCACCAGGATTCATTCTCTATCACCACATCAGAAAGTGCGTGTCTCTCTAACATCATACTCTGATATGTACAGATCTGTCATTGGTAACCACAATGGAAAAGACACTTCATGCTGTGGTAACTATGATACATTTAAAGGTGGAGATTAATGAGCCATCACTCTCCATTCAGTGTACAAATGCCTGGGGTTGCCCATACAGGGGTCTAAAAATCTGAGAAAACATTGAGAAACTGAAATATAATTTCAATCTAAATAATAAACAAAGTTTTATGGTTTTGAAAAATTGATGACATGTGAACTCTTTGTACAGATGCTTAGATGCTCTTGCTTCCAATGACCCAAAAGAGCATTTGTGCTTGATTCTGTGCTGGTTTCTCACAAACTTCTGGAGTTCATTCAGCTTGAGTGCTGCTGTCATGAAAGCAAAAGAGGGATAGTACAAATACTTAAAAATTAATGTCATTTTTTAAAGTCAATTTTGGCTTGAAATAGCTGTGCTGATAATATATTTAATGAAAAATTTGTTGAAGTAGAAAAGTGCAAAATAGAAGCATTTTTAACTTGTAACCTCAGGCTTTTGGACCTCACTGTATGTAACTGTGGGAAAAGTTTTACTGTTGAAGTGATTGACAGGTACTTTCGTTACTGTCTTTGCTCAACCATGAAATGTCCATTTAGTTGATGGAGGAATGGATTAATTTGTTTGTGAAGACCAACCATAAAAATTGTGATTTTAAATGAAGTTCCATCCCATATAATTTTTGAAATGTTGTCATTAGGTTTGACAGGTTTGCACAAATTTACTTTAGAGCTGCTTCTGTCTCATATGTCAGACCAACAGATTATGGGTTGGGCTGAGACCGGTTAACAATGGTAGAGGCAGGTGTCTATTAAACATTTTTATTACAGAATGGAATATTAACAGTGGTCATGCTTCACAGTACATGGTTTAATTCAAGTCCTTGATGAAAACGAACAAGAGTAACCAAAACGAACAAGAGTAACAATATTAATTGTTGCTCTTTAAAGAAGGCACTTAATTAAAACAGCTCCCCCATCTGCTTCATTATCATTTTGTCTGGGAGCTTCACACCACAGTAGGCTGCTTGTGTTTGGCTTTACAAATCATCAGCTGTACAAACTACAAAGTGTGCTAATACGATGAGTTATCTCTGCTAATCTTGCCAAAAGCACAGAGACTCCAGGGATAGTTACGAGTCTACAAATTCCAATTGTTGGCAGTTTCAGGGCTCTTTCATGACCTCTAGAGCTCGTGGGAAATGTAAGCTTGTCCCAGTGAGGTTTCAGTGGGGTCTAGGCTGACGTGAGAGAGCGAGTGGCTGTGTCCGTGAGTGCGTGAGAGCGTGTGGTAGCGTGTAGAGGACGGCACTGGAGATGTGCACTCTTGCTCCTGCTCCGTGGCTTGCTCCGATGCCCCACGAGTCTGGTTTCCAGTTCCTGTGGCAGCTTCTGCGCCCTGCATCCCTCCGCTGCCCTTTCTGTGCCTCTCCCAGGCGGAGCTCAACCTTACTGCAAGAGCCAGCAGGTTTTTCCCCAAGAACACTGTGGATACCCGTGGGTCCCTGTACCACAGCATCCCGACTCCTCTGGGCACGAGCGTGAACACGTTAATGGTCACCAGGCTGAGCCACGGATAGATGGCCTCTTTCCGAGCCGCCTGCAGCCCAGGCAGCGCAGTAGCACCCAGCTCCGTGAGCGACACGCATGGCAGCAACAGCAACAGCACATAACAGTAAAAGAACACTATACCCTCCACCCAAAGAGGAACCCCCACGCTTCCCTGCACCTCCCAAAGACCGGCTTGCAGATCCAACACATCGAGTAAGTCAACCACCACCCACAGAAGCCGGCTGCGCACCTCCTGCTTCCTGCGGAGTGGAGTCATGTAATCAGCTCCTGACAGGATGAGGAACAGTGAGGGCAGGCACACCGAAAGTAAAAGAGTCAGAGTCTTGCGGGCAAGAGGATCCGGAGGTCGTCTCTCCTGTCTGTAGTTCTGACACACAAAGAAAAGCTTCAGCTGCAGCGGGTCGTCTCTCCTGTCTGTAGTTCTGACACACAAAGAAAAGCTTCAGCTGCAGCAGCGAGAGGAAAAGAAACCAGAGAGCGTTGGCAAAGCCCCGACGGGGAGAGCGAGCCTCTGAAACCACACCGGCAGAAACAAAGCGCAGCGCCAGCAGGAAACACAGGTCACCCAGCGCGACGGCAACACATGGCCATACTGCAGGACGGGCTCCACCTCGAGGTCCCAGCATGCTCTGCTCCAGCAGATAGAGGTCGACCACAGCCATCGTGCTCACTGTCACCAGAGTAGACACGCACACCTGGGGCGAGGGCAACATGCTTGAGGAAGAAGGAGAAACAAGGACATAGTCAGACTGTATATCCTGATCCAGGAGACATGACCTGCATGATTATGTGCTTTTACAAGACTGCAATATACAGAGAAAAGTGCAATTTCAGAGTAAATTGGCCATATATCATCAAAGCCTTGAAAGTACATGTACATAATACTATTTAAGGCCTATTTTTGTTTTTATGGACTGAGCAAATTGCATGATTTTCTGCAACGTGCAGGTCAACAATAGACTATTCATGCTGTTCCTTGAAACATCTTCATTGTTTGGCGATGTTTAAATGGGAGAGTTTTTCTTTCTCAACCTTAAAATCAAAGGTAGTTGCTGAATGTCTGTACCGAAGGTCTTGACAAATGTTGTTTGCAGTCCTGGGCTATTTTACAATTCATGGCATTTCAAAGGCTTGTTCAGTTTACAAAGCCGGTGACATTGACAGGATTAGTAAGATGTTGTTTGTGGCAGTACTGAGTATAAGCATTTTCCTGTTTTAGACAGGGTGTTAGGGTGGTCAGGGTCTTTTTTCCATCACTTCCATTCACAAGCATATCTTTCTGTTTCCAGTCTAATTTATTTTTCCCAGTAGATGCTTCAAATATAATAGAACATGGCAGAATCTCTCTTTCTTTCTTTGTATCTTTCTAAATATGATTTTTCAACTCATAACATTTTCAATCCCTTCATCTTTCCGAGTGTCCCAGGTTTTCTGCATAGTATATATCATTCATGTCAACCCTTGTTCTCTTATTAATTAATTATATCGAAGGAAACCCAGACACACTTTCAAAGTCTCTTTTCCTCATGGCTTGCCTTCCGTGCTGGTTTTCTGTCACATATTGCGGTATTTAACTGTCTTTAATTTTCAGTATGAAACATGACTTGATGAAGTCTGATTCTCTGGCTCATTTTGTAGAATGAAGCTTCTGAGTACATTGGGCCACCTGCAAAATGGCGACGCTCAATCTTAATACTGTCCGAGAGGTGTTGTCATAACACTGCATACTGATGTTGATTTTATTAATGTTTCCTCAAGCCATATTTCAGCAATGGACAGTGTAAAACTGTGGTATTGATTAATGTAGAGAAATGATTGTGGGCTTTATGGTGAAATCGAATGCAGGCCTTCTCAGCCGGATGGTGCACTATAGCCGTCTGACCATTTGTGTCTGATGTGAATGTCAACACCTCAGAAAGATGGCTTTTAAAATATAAAATCATTACTGTTGAGGATATACAGGGTGTCAACGGGGTTTAAGATACAGGTTTGCTACATTTAGTTTTATTGGATTTTTTTAGCTTAGATGTTACAACTACTAATTCACCCAAAAATGGATGATATGAGGAAGAGTAAATTGTGACAGAATTGTCATTTTTGGGTGAACTATTCCATTACAACTCATACAACTTCTAAAGACTCCTTAGGTGTATGTGTGGATACGTGGGGAGAAAGTGTTAAATGGTGAGGTGAAATGGAAATTGAATGGCGTGAGAGAGGGATGGCGAGAGCATGGTGGTGATTCATTACCTTGGCTTTTTACAGACCTAATAAAGTGTTACGGTATAATGGTAATAGTTCATAAATAAGCTGAGGGAAATGAAGAAGGAAAGAATGACGAGTATAACACAAAAAGCAGGCGACGTGCTCTGGGAAAAAGGAGATGTTGTGTTGGAGAACTGTTGATGGGAATAGAAATGGAAATATATTCATAGCTTGGGAACTGTAGAAATTAAACGCATTAATAGGAAGTGTGGAGGAAATGAAGGGAGTATGTTGGTAAATGACCTAGAATGATTAATCTTCTGTGAGCTCTGTGGAATGAAAAGGGAGTGTGCGTCACTAATATCTGATTTTGACTGTAGACTTTATTTTTGTCTCTGTTACTGATTTTCTGCTTTGGAATTCAATTGAATCCAGTAATCTCAGACTATGAGTGTTGAACTGAGGCCACATGATCCTGAAGAAAAATGTTTCTGCACAGGACACATATTTCTTTTTCAATCAGAAAAATGATAGAAGTTATTTTAAAACAAAAAAGAATTGAAACCCAGAAGGCTTGCCTGTAGGTGCAGAGCTTATCTTTTGACTCCACTGTCAGCCCATAATTCATCAGGTTATCAAATCACTTGGAAGATACTGTGTTGTTTTCTCCAGGCACATCCATAATAACGAGACATCAGTACTGACAGTCAGTGCATCCTTAAGCATAAGTGATGGCTTAAGGCTGCTGGTTACAGTGTATAATTTAATGCAATTTTGCTGTACAAATGTGTTCTTTGATCTGCGCTTGTATTAGTAAGTCAAAAGAAGTCAAAGTAAGTCAAAAGAAGTGCCTCGAATAGTCTTTTGATGTACAGGCACCAATGTTCTTGCATCTTATATTCAGTATGTATATGCTTCAGATGTCATGAGTTCACCCAAAATAAGTCATTTTGAACCATTAAAAAGAGACATTTCTAAAAATATATATTTTTTAATGTTCCAGATGAAAAAAAAAAGTCATACAGGTTTGGAATGACATGAGGGTGAATAACTGATGACATAATTTTGAACTATGCCTGCAGTGTTTTAGAAGATAAGAAGTAATGTAATGAAGTAATGTATGGCAATGTGAGGAGAAATATAAAAGCTTCACTCTAAAGTGATGGTCATAATTACTGGGTTAAATATAGTGTGATAAATATTGTAAATGTTTAATTGCTCTGTGCAAGTGTCCATAATCACGTCTACCTCTCATTCTTGGAGATACTCTCGGCTGGACTCATGCCACATGCTCTCATTTACGAGTAAACGGCTGAAAATGTCCGTCGGTAATGTGCCATTGAACCATTCCCACACAGAGAAGATCATCTATACAGTGAGAGCATCGGTTCGCGAACAAATGGCATCATCAGTCTTTATGCTTGTAAGTGTCGTGCTGCTGCCCCTGCAGGACGTGTGATCAGACCTGTACCACACTCCAGTATATCACCATATTGCGACAGGTGTCAATGCATTAGGATTTACCCATCCGAATTGGCAGGTGTCAATCTCACCAACGAGCTCGTCAGCAGTGAAACATTTGAACTTTTAGACAAGAAGGCTGCATGAATAATTGAATATCAAGTTGCAAGAGAGCTGAACTTCATGCAACCAGGATTAGATGAAGTAGAGAGTGTATTTACCCCACAGCATGAAGACTTGACACAGCAGTCTCAATCTAATGACCAGCGCAAACCTGCAGGCATCAAGACGATATTATAAGAATCCAGTGTCCGAAATCGCGCTGTTCGTCCAGTTATGACACTGTGCGGCCGCTCAGCATAACTAAACGTGGAAAATAATCCAGAGAAATCAGCCACACCAAGCTCAAAGACTATATTGTCCATAATATAAACCCTGGTGTGCAGTTTATTCGGGCGAAGTGATGAGGAAGCGAGCCTTTCTGCCTCTTGACTTTCTTTGTCGCAAAATCCTTATATAATCGGCATGGGGTTTATTCCATTCTCTCGACTCGAGCTCCAGCAGGATCCTTCGCGCTCCATCCAGACTCTCGGGCGGCTGCGAGGAAGCTTTTTGCGGGCTGAGGAGTAGAAGTCCGTCAGAAGTGCGCTAGAAATGTGTTATCCGCTAAATCTGTAACGGAAGCCGCTTTTTTCCGAGTATCTCCTTGTCTTCTTCATACTTCACTAAGGAAAGGGCGCGAAAGAACGCGTCGCGAGACAGTTTATGATTGCAGTGTGTCATTTGTAGGCAGTTTACGTGCACTTGTATCCCTCCCTCCGCTCGCTCGCTCGCTCTCTAACTCTACCGCTTAGTTGCTTCTCTCTAAGCTTCTCGGATTTCACTTCAGAAAGCAGGCGGGGATATTTGAATGGGCTCGTGCATATTGCATGGGAGTCACCGTCCGGAAGAGTCCGTGCTACTAATTACTGCTGCTAGTGCAATCATTGCTATGATAATTACATTGTTCCAGGCTGGAGAAAACAACACCCACGATGTCCCTGCTGTTAGTGACGAATGATTGTGTGCTGAGATGAACTAGAAGGTCCTTTCAGAATGGTTATTTGTCATTTGTCATTTTTTATCTAGAACAACTAATTGTAAGGACGGTCCCCTGGGTTAAATGCCTGACTGAAGAGGGGTGACTGCATTGCATAGATCACTAATGCAGTCTTTGTGTTTATAAGCAAATTAAAGGTGCACTCAGTATTTTTTCATCTCAATATGTAAATTTTATATGTAAAGAATAAATAGAACTTTTGAAAAATGTACAAAAATCATGTACAGGCCTAATAACAGCGGATTTATTTTTTGGAAATAGGTCACATATGGACCTACTTCCATGCCAGTATTTCTAGGTAAACATTTCCAAATTAGTCCCTTAAATTAAGCAATACGTTGTAGCTTACCCAACTGAGATGTTAATATCTCACATTTTGATCATGATCACTGACAATCAGTATGTTTTAAGATCAAAACACATTTGTCAGGACCCTTTTTTATGGATGCAATTAATCCCCAATACCACCCACGCCTAGAAACTTTTTTGCAAATTTTGGTGCCAATTATGAAAATATTTGTACCCGGAAGAGACACTGAATCATTTGGACCCGAAAGGAACAAGATTTTCTATCTGTCTACTAATTCCTGTGAACCAGACAATCATAATTCTTGAAATATCATACCCTAAACATGACTTCCCAGATAAGATATTTGTTGGGAAAAAAATATGAAAAAGCAAGCAAGCTGTGAACATAATATGGTACAAAAACAAAATCTGATTTGACATGCACTGACCCCTTTGAATACACACATCGGTCCATTTTAATTATGTAGAATAATGAGGAAAAGTTGAGGAGGAAACTTAATATTAATGGGTTTGAGGTAGGAACTGCTCTTGCATGATCAGAGCACCAGTGTGACAGGAGATTGAGCTGAATTTCATTATCTGTAAAAAAATTTCCCACAACTGCTCTGACAGGCCAGTTTCCATTGTCTTTATGGCCTTTGTGAAATCAAAGGTTACTTCTCTTGTATTTTCTCTTTACAATGTTCACCTCATTTATTCATGGTGAGGGGTCATCTTGGAGATTTAATCAGCCAGATGGGAAAGAAAGGCATAGAGAAGGCAAAGTCATCCTTCTTGTCACAGTCGTCTATGCGCACCACTGGTTTCCAGACATTTTCCATTCCTTGCCTTCAATGTTTTCACCTTTGTTAGCTCCACCCACTACTCCATTCTCTCTCCATCTCTATCACCTTCTCTCTCACTCGCTCTCTCACTCGTCCCCGCGGGGCTGAAGTGGTTGAAGGTCACTCTGATCTGGCTAGCTTTCAGCACGGATGGAGTGAGAACGGCGGAGAAAATGAGACAACAAGAGTCCAGCAGTGCACAGTCAACACTTTTGCCCCCATGAAGTTGGTAAAGACTTCAGAAATTGCCTTATGGAAATGTTACGGGCCTGATTGGTGCCCCAGGTGTGCACTGGCAGAAGCTTGTCCCAAGACACTCCTCACTGCATCCATCTGCTACGCATTAGAGCCCTTAGCTGACACCACACATGCTCCAGCCACAGCGAAACAATCTGTTTTACAGACTGGAAGATTCTCCCAATGAGTGCACAGCTTGATATACTGTTTTTGATCATTAATCCGCACCTTAACGTCCTCCTTTTATTTCTGAAACTTAAAATATCAATAAATCCAAGAGCTTGTAACACTCCAAAGAGAAAGGAAAAATTGAAATTGCATTATATGACCCCTTTAAAACCAACCCTGGCTCAACTGATAATGATACTCGATTAATTATCAGTCTTCCTGATTAACCGACTGCGATGTTGCAGAGCACTGATAAAATAAGACATCCACTGATGTGATGAAAATTCTCTGAAGAGTGGGTCTGAGGAATTGGCCTCTTTACTTTAATAACATACATTTAATGAAATCTTTTCACACTCGCTGATTTCCATCAGACGTTAGACACTGGCACAGATGCGCTCCCTCAAAGCATTTATTGTCCTTTTTAACTTTTTCAATGCCGCAGAGTCTCATGCTGTGTCTTAGACCTTCACCCTGCGTTTTATTATCTTTAAATAAATCTGTTTGTGCTTTAATGCTTTAATAAACCGATTTCAAGGCAGCATGCCTCATATTCAAGGACGCGGTGAGGCTGCATCCTCATCTAGAGGAGCAACATGTTATTTTTTCTTCAGACTGAAGCAAGTATAGCTATCAATATTGGCTGTAAAAATGCACCATAAAATTGACCCGAAAATAATGTGTCCCCAGTGGCACGTCTCGCCCTGTGGCATTCGCTTTGAATGCATTAATCATCACTGTTTGTACTTAAAAAGAGATGTGTTTTTAGATGTGTTTGAGGTTACAGGGGAATTTGGGATGATCAAAGATAGAGCCATTAGCCATTCTGACAAACTTTTGTTAGCATTCCACAATGTCTGATGCAAACATTCTGTGATCGCCTGTGGATCGAGCAAATAGACATTAATCCTCTTTGCACTCAAAAGCAGGACCCTTCCCAGTACAAGGCCTTGTCCATTTCTCTCCTGAGGTTGAGGCTGCATGACGGGTTGGACTGGTTTAAGGGTATGAAGCTAATCAACTGTATGAAACCCTTATAGGGAAGAATGTAATAAAATGGGAAGAGTTCAGCACATTAAATTAGGGAAGGGGAACCGGAGTAATTAATTAGAGTGTCTCACACTGCAGAGTTTAATTAACCCCTCTTCTACACCCCCCACCTCACCCCCATCTTTCAGGATGCTGGTGTGGGCAATGAATTGCCCGTCCTAGGGTGCCAGGGGCAATTAATCCTGCCTGCTGCCCCGAGGCCACGTCCCCTGTCATGTTTGTGTACATACGCCCTTTTTTGCACTTCTGTTTCACTCACCGTTACATATCAGTGCGCACAAGGAGGGAACATGCAGTGCCGTGTCCTCTAAATCCCACACTAAGAGAGCCCTCTGAAAGAAACTGTAGTTATGCTCTCCCACTTCATCTCACTCTTTACTCTTCATATCCTTTTGTTTCTTATTGTCTGTATCTGTATTGTCTGCAGTAAAAATTAATTCATCATTCTGTCATGATCTCCTCACCCTCATGTTGTTCCCAACCTGTATGACTTTCTTTCTTTCATCAAACAGAAAAGGAGAAATTATGAGTTAAATTTTGTTCTGTTAGTCACACAAAGCTATTGGATGACTACATGGGACTTTAATGCGGTGTTGTTATTGTTAATTTAAACTATTAAAAATTGTTTTTGTAACTTGAAAAAAGCAGAAATTAAATGAAATATAGTGTAAATATTAAATGAAAAACTTGTAGCTTTGGCAGCTAACAGAAATGAAATAAGTTGGAAGTACTAAAAATGACTAAAAAACTAAATAAAAAAATTAAGGCTAAATGGAAATATTAAAAACTGATTTAAAATAAATACATCATACATTAAAAAAAAGTGTAAATGGCAAAAACACAAAATTGCCAAAATTAAAATGAAAATGGAAAATATACAAATAAAAGCTCATTCAAAATATTAATACACACCATTAAAGTATATAAATAATACTAATATAGCTTTAGATTTTTAAAGCTCGAAACTTCAGCTCCGTTTCATTGTAATTCCTTGGACAATTTCTCAGTTTGTGTTTTGCAGATTTCACAAAAGTTACACAAGTTTAGAACAGCATTAGGGTGAATAAAGCATAAATGACGCAATAACAATTGCTCATAATAAGTGCCTCATTTTGCTGTAATTTAATTTTTATATATATATATATATATATATAGCAATTCCCATCACTGATGAAGTCTTTTGTCCAGC